TCCTTTACTTCTGAACCAAGCTCAGTCTCGATCTGTTGGCTCCAATGACACTGGGCAGTGAAACACTTGTTGGGGTCCACTCTGGAGGATCCTCCCCCACCCTCCCCTCCTCCTCCCCTCTCCCACCTGTGATAATTGACCTGGTCACTTGATTCAGTAGAAGCCTGTCTCCATGTCCGTATCAACTGTTGAAAATGTTTACCTGTATTCATTTCCGGGGCTGCCACAGCAAGGTACCACAGACTTCGTGGCTCTGAACAACAGAAAATTATCCTCACGGTTCTGGTCCTAAAGTCCAAGATCAAGATGTCCCAGGGTCCCACTCCCTCCAGAGGCTCCAGGGGAGGGTCCTTCCTGCCTCTTCTGGCTACTGGAGCCCCGGGCATCCCTTGGCCAAATTCATTGCCCTTCACCCTGTGTCTCACTGTGCCTCCAACCTCCCTCTCCTTTCTCTTGTAAAGACACCTACCATTCAATTTAGGGCCCCCCCAAACTTCACTAGTTCACTTCTGCAAAGAGCCTTTTCCAAATAAGGTCACATCTGTGTGAGAGTGAAGCCCCCCCTCTGAGGAGATGCATGAGAGCGAGGGCCCATCTCTGAGGTGACGTGTGAGGGTGAGGCCCCCCTCTCTGAGGTGACGTGTGAGGGCCAGGAGCCCACTGAGTGATGCTGGTGGACGTGGCCCCTTCTCCCTGAGGTGATGCTCAAAAAGGAGTCGAGATGATGCATGAGGACAAGGCCCCCCTCTCTGAGATGACAAGTGACAGCGAGGACCCTGTGTCTTAGCAGACGTGTGAGGTGAGAACTCCTTGTCTGAGGAGATTTGTGAGGGTGAAGCACCCTCTCTGAGATAATTCTTAAGGAGGAGGAACCCCTCTCTGAGGTGTTGTGTGAGGGTGCAACCCCCCTCTCTGAGGTGATTCTTGAGGTCCAGGCACCCCTCTATGAGGTGACACTGGAGGGCAAGGCCCCATTCTCTTTTGTGACAAGTGACTCAAGGACCCACTCTCTGAGGAGATGTGTGAGGACGAAAAGAAACCTTTCTCATTGAAGTGGTGTGTTTGGAGGATGAGGCCCCCCTCTCAGAGGTGATACGTGCGTGAAGATCCCCTTTCTCAAGAGGTGTGTGAGGCGAGGAACCTCTCTCTTAGGCATGTATATGGCCAGACCCCCACACTGAGATGCATGAGGGTGGTGCCTCCCTCTGTGGAGAGGTGTGTGAGGCAGCGACCACCTGTCTGAGGTGATTCTTGAGGTCGAGGCTCCTCTCACTGAGCGGATGCGTGAGGGTGAAGCCTCCTCTCTGAGTTGATGTATGAAGCAAGGACCCTTTCTCTGAGGGGACGAGTGAAAGCGAGGCCCCCTTCTGACATGACGGCCGAGGGAGAACCCCTTCTTTTATGCAGCGTGGAGGGTGAGGACGCCCCCTCTGAGGTTATGTGTGAGCTCGAGGCCTCAATCTCTGGGGTGATGCAGGAGGTTGCGGTCACGATCCATGACATTATTCGGCATAAAATGTTTGTCCCTTGGGTGTTTTCTGGTTGTCAGGATCTGAGAACCCGTTTATTTATGTGATTTATTCATTACTCCTCAGGAAAAGCCTGACCTGCAGATGTGCTCACTGACCTTTCCCACCAGAAATGGGACAAGTTCACAGGTCTCCTGTTTTCTCCTTGCATTTGTAGCTGCCTTCAAACCAGAGAAGTGCATTATCATTGACCAGGTCTCTTTGCTTTGTGCAGCTGATGTCTATGCAGAGGGCAGCAGCTTCCGAGGAAGGAGCCCCATCCGGTGTTCGGACCTGCTTGCTGAGCTGCTGTGCCCCGAGGGTGAAGGGTGGGCACCTGGCACAGGAGACCTGCCCAGCCAGGCGCCCAGGCAGGAGCTGGAAATCAACCAGGAGCTACTGCAGTCCGGGGCGGTCACCCTCCCAGGTGAGCATGGCTGTCTTGCTAACAACACACCACAGGCCAGCGGCTTCTTAACAACAGAATTTCACTTACCACGGTCCTAGAGGCTGGATGTCCACGATCAAGGCACAGCGTGGCGCGTGCCGGTGAGGGCCCCTTCCTGCTTCACAGTCAGCACCTTTTCACCGTGTCCTCACATGGCAGGTGGGCAAGGGGTCTCTCTTTTATAAGGGCATTAATCCCATTCATGTGGGCTCCACCCTCAGGACCAAAGCCCCTCCCACAGGTCTCACTTCCAAATTCCAGCAAATCAGGCATTAAGATTTCAACATATGGGGCTTCCCTGGTGGCGCAGTGGTTGAGAGTCCACCTGCCGATGCAGGGGACACGGGTTCGTGCCCCGGTCTGGGAGGATCCCACATGCCGCGCAGCGGCTGGGCCCGTGAGCCATGGCCGCTGAGCCTGCGCGTCCGGAGCCTGTGCTCCGCAGCGGGAGAGGCCACAACAGTGAGAGGCCCGTGTACCGCAAAAAAAAAAAAAAAAAAAGATTTCAACATATGAATTTGGGTTGTTACAAACAGTCAGAGCATGGCAATGGCCCTCACCCTGCCAGGTGAGCTTGGCTGTCATCTGCCCAGGTGAACACCAGGCTCTACCCTCCCAGCAGATCTCACATCTAAGCCAATAACTCAAATAGTGTTTGCAGATCCTGGCTCCATACTCCTCGAGCTTGAAGCCGCGGGTGTCCCTGTGGGGGCTACCCCCTTTCACGATGGCCCCTTGTTAGTTCACAGCCTCCTGGGACCTTCCTGGGTGGAATCTGAAATTGCCCACATACTCACAGAGGGCAGAGAGAGACCGAAGAAAGAGGCCACGCTCCACACTGGCAGGTGGCAGGTAACTTATATACCAGGCTTGTACTGGGCGGCCTCGAGATTTCCACCCCGCCCGCCAGAATCTTAAAGTTTACCTGGAGGGAGGCCTTAACTGGGCTCAGTCATGTTACTCTCCAGTCGGTCTCGATGCCACACCATTACTCCAAGGTGCGTCTTGAGGCAGGCTCTGGGAGCGAGGAGGGCGGAGGAGCACAGGGGCCTGGGTCCAGCTCGGGGCTCAGCTAGCGGCCGCATCCTCTCAGTGACCTCCTCCAACAGCTCTGTTTCTGCCGTCAGGGAAGAGCGGTGGCGCAGGTCTGTACAAGGGGCCCACTCTGGTCCAGCGAACACATGTCCAGTGCCGAGCTAACCCGCCTGCTAAAGTACCCCCACACCATCCCCAGGTGGGACCGAGCCAGCCTCCAGTTTTCAGACCCTTTGAGGATAAACCCAACTGAGGTGTAATCTCGGGTGGCTCCTGGGCTCTGCTGTCTGGCGCGTCACTGCGGCAGGTCCCGTCTCCCACCTCCCCCTCCTTCCGGGCCCTCATGCCGGGCTCTCACGTGCCGTCCCCCACGCACCCCATCCCTCCCGTGCGCCTGGACCCCTGTCCTCCGAATGCAGGCCTGAGTTCTGCGTTGCTCCTCCTTGTTCAGTACTGGCTTTAAGCATTATTTGTCTACATGTTTTATGCTCCACCTTTTTCTAAAAAAGATTTGAAGTGACCTTGATTAAAGACTCGAGCTGATACAAACAGAATATTTAGTATAACCAGGTGAAGAAATCATACAAATAGGAGGTACCTGGTACCAGAAAGCAGAAAAGACTGACTGCGAACTAGGCCTTGTGTCATCACTGGGCCTCCGGGCAGCCAGCAGCATACGTGCCAGGAAGAAAGTGCACCAGCCCCTCCAGAGCCGCATCCTCCTGGTGTGGAATTCCAGGGGACCTTGCCTCCTGCGCCCTACACAAAGAAGCAGACATGCTTGGGTGACCCTCCCCAGGGCTCTCCATGGACCAAGGACAGAGATGGGGGCGGATGGAGAACTGGAGTCACGCGCATTGTTTGGGGCCCCTCACCCCCATCAGGTGCAGACGGGCTTCGGGCTCCCTCACGGCCATCACACCAAGAGCCTCCACGGTGCCGGTGGACACAGCCCCAGGGCTCAGTCCTAAGGTCAACGGCCCAGGTTTGAATCCCGGCCCCGAATCCCAGCCCTGCCCTTGGCTGGAGTCGGTAGTGTGCCGTGATGAAGGGATGTCTCATGGGTGTGCTAGAGGGGCTAGAAATAATCTCTGTGCAGTCCCTAGAGTGAAGTCACATGACCTCATGTGAGCGCGTGCTGGGTGACTCACCGCCACGTGTGCGCGCGTGTGGGAACACGCTGCCTGGTGTGCCCTCACGTGACGTGGGAGCGTTTCTGGTACAGGACCACCCGTGACCTCATGCTTGTTTGTGGAGTACTGACTTTCTGTTGAAATTTTTTCTGAAATTGCACGGGTACAGTCAGTGTGGGAACACATAGGCAGGAAAGGACTTAGAATACTGCATTCCCCCAGGCTCCTTCGCAGAGCGAGGCTCCCAGTTATTTCAGGGCCTACTTTTACTGCCCTGAGCCTAGGATTTCAAACTTATCTTTCAGCAGAGATTTCAAAATTTAATGAAACGACTCTGAAAAAAATTAGTTTCATCCTTGCACTGGTTCATGCTCTATAAGCCTCAGGTAAACACCTTCAAAGCCCTAGAATGATGCCATTTTCTATTTACCAGAAGCTTTCCTTTGACCACTGCAGGGAGGTCCTGATTGGCCAGGGCCCCCCGAGAGAAAGGAGTGAGACTGCTGTGGACTCTGTGGGACCGGGGCTGAGCTGCACGTCCAGACCCCTGCTTTTTCCACTTTGCCGCAGCCGGTGCAGACAGCGCACCGCTGCTCACCTGCACGTGAAGACCTCGGAGAAAAATGTTTCTGAAGACTTAGGGGAGCTTGTTATGGAGCCCGAAGGTTTGGCTGCTTGTTCCCCAACAAGGGCTGTAATTGAACGTCCTGATAGAGAGCGGCACCGGGAGAAGCCACATGCCCTCAGCTCTTGGGAAGAGGCACCTGAGATGCCGCACCTTTGGGAGGAACGCCCGGGAGAGTCTCATCATCGGTGCCTGCAGGTGTGTTACAAGAAGCCCCGCTTCCCTATGAGTTTGCCTCGTGAAAGGACTGCCATCAAGCTCTTACATACACAGGACCTTAAACTCGGAAAGGATCTTGGCTGTTATCCATGCACCCTCCTGCGCCATGCAGGAATCCACCCATCCATCCTGCCATCCACACTTACCTGGGAATACAAAAGGGAACAGCAGAAGTTCCTGCCCTGATGGAGACACACACGCGAACCCGGATTGTCGCAGCTCCCAGGGTGAGACAAGCCCACAGTGCCGAGAGGGACTTCCCAGACATACCGTGTCCTGGAGGAGGGAGAGGGTTTGCAGACAAGAGGGGAAGCAAGAGAACACACAGGCCTGGAGCAGTCGGGCACTTTCTGAGGACAGAAGACGCTGTGAAGACAGCAGGCCCCCCTGGGCCGAAGACCATGGCGTGTGGCAGGCCAAGCGGCCTGCAGCTTCAGGAAGACAGTTCAGAGGCTTCCGCAGAAATGCAGACCCAGACATCCAGGCAGGTCTGCACAGCGGCCTGGGGTGGACCAGGGACCCCAAGGGGCCAGACTGGGGGCCTGGAGGCTGCCTGCCACTGGGAATGAGGGGAAGCAGAGGCGTCAGGGGATCCAGAGCAGGGGCAGGCAGGAGGGGAGGGGATCTGCTCTGGGGTTCCAGTTGGCACCAATGTGGACGCAGGAGTGAGCAAAGGGATCCGTCTCAGCCACTCAGGACCAGGGTCCAGCAGCCGTCTGACCCCGGGAACAGCCCCCAGGAAGGGCGGGGCTGTCCTGCCAGCTGCCAGGTGGGTGACGGCATAGAGAAGAGCCTGTGAGTCACTGAGCACGACCGCCCCTGTGGTCCTGGTGAGGCCGCTTGCTGGGCTCTGGGGCCACGATTGACTTGGCAGATGATGGGAAACCCCAGGGCCGGGGGCACCAGGGAAGGGAGGCCCACGACGACAGAGCGAGATCCAGCCGTCCCCGCTGGAGGCCTCCGGTCTGACCGGCGGGGTGGACACGAGACCCTCCGAAGAAATGGAACATCTCGCCCAGCTCCTGGCAGCACTGACCAGGACCCGTGTGGCCAAGCAGGTGGGCACCAAGAAGTCCCTGGGCAGAGACATAGCGTCCACCTGCCTGCTCCCACCTGGGCCTCGAGGAGCCGCCAGCACCAGAGGCATCAGCTCGGGCTCCGCAGCCCCACTTCTGTCCTCGTACCTGGCCTCCCTAAGAAACACGCTTCAAATGTTCTTTAGCAGTTTTACCCCAAGTGGAACACACCTGACTGGGGGGCGAACAGGAACGTGGCACTAAAGCTGTGCAGCTCTGCCAGCTTTGTGTAAGCAGGCATCAGGTCCCGGGCTCAGCGCTGCTGCGTGTGCATCTAAGAGATCAGCGTCCAGACAGGCAGCTGAGTTAGAATACTCGCTGACACCGGAAGCTACAGTGGAAGGCAGTTCCCAGGGACACTGAAAGTTCTGAAGAATGAATATACCAACTTGTCCTGGCCTATTATTCTTCCCTATTCAATCTGGAACTGAAGCTTCTGATCACACAATACAGACAACGGGGTTTTCAAAAGCACGTGGCGAGATTTTCAGTTTCAGGGGATGCTCTGCAGTCCTGCATCAACCCAAACACACAAACGAGTACAAAGACTCCCAGGAACCTCTGGCTCCTGGATGCAGGCCCTGCTTCGCTCACCCAGAGCTGCACCTGCGTGGATGTCGGTGGGCAGGAGAGAGAGCAGACCTCCCCACAGCTGGTCCGCCACAGTGAGTCCCGCCTGCCCTGCCTCCACCTGAGAAGCAGCTGATTCCTCAGGAAGCGGAAGGTGGATGTGTATCAGCCAAGAGTCCCGAACTCGTAGAGCCAAGAGCACCTGGGTGGGGAACGCGTCTCATGGAGAGACGGGGAAGCTCGCTCTGGACGAGATTTAACACGTCCTGTCTTTCTTGCTCCAGGAAGGAGGTGTGGGAGCGGGGGCTGGTCATCCTGGTGGACACACGCAAGAGCCTGGCCGCCCCCGCCCTTTCCCAGGCCCTGGCAGCCCTGCAGGTGAGCAGGTGGGTCCCGTCCTGGGCGCTGAGCTTCTCCAGGTGCAGGGGGTCAGCAGCCGCCACCTCCCTCATGTGAATCTGGAGACGTGGGGAGGGGCCTGTGCTTAGAGGTGGAAGGAACAAAGCAGGTTTCTGCTTCTGCCCCCTCCCGGCCTCGCTGCAGACCTTCAAGTCCAGCCGGCCAGGGTCAGCCGTACAGACGTTCTGGTTTCTGCTCTGACTCA